GAAAAGTCATGCCTCCATCGTCTTTACTTGGGTTTGGGTGGGAATATTTTAATAAATCAGAAATAATCCTTAGAATGTGCTCTCTAACTACCACTATTCGCTTTTCCACATAATCACCAGACAATTGGTTACATTTCTGCCAATTATGAACAAATTTTCTGAAGCCGTCACAGAAGAAGTCGACACTCTGTTTCTGCAACCAGCGTCTCACGGTTCTCTCAACCACTATTCGCTTTTCCACATAATCACCAGACAATTGGGTACATTTCTGCCAACGATGAACAAGTTTTCTGAAGCCGTCACAGAAGAAGTCGACACTCTGTTTCCGCAACCCATCGTGCACAGATCTTCCGATAGCCAAGTAAAGCAATAATGTGACTCACACGTTCTTCTCAAATGCCGATTATGCTTGAAATTTTTCTCTGAGTGATACGACGATCGTCCTGAATCAATCTGTCAACCTTTTGCTTGTGAAACTTAGTGGTTGCTGTCACAGGACATCCAACTCTTTGTTTGTCACGCAAGTCAGATGTTCCCACCTCAACATCTTTAAACTTACTCACCCAATGACAGACAGTACTCACATCAACACAATTGCCATAATCAGCTTGCATTCTCTGAGGAATCTCCTTTGGGGTGACACCTTCTGTTGTCAAGAATTAAATGACTACACGTTGCTTAAGTCGCATTGACCGACCCTCTGCACAGGGTTCCATAATTCGCACTTTAAGAACATGACCATTCAATGCTAAGGTTTCCACCAAAATGGAACTGTAGAGGAGAGTCTACTGAACAAGCCAGTACCTGCCGCATACCAGTACTGCCATCTGTTGAGGAGTTATGAAGGAGGAGGCATTACATTTTCTGCTAAGGCTTCCCGCTAAAATATAGCTGTAGAGGAGAGTCTACTGAACAAGCCACTACCAGCTGGATACCCGTACTGCCATCTGTTGAGGAGTTACGAAGGTGGAGGCATTACTTTTTCTGCTAAGGCTTCCTGCTAAAATGGAACTGTAGAGGAGAGTCTACTGAACAAGCCAGTACCTGCCGCATACCAGTACTGCCATCTGTTGAGGAGTTATGAAGGTGGAGGCATTACTTTTTCTGTTAAGGCTTCCTGCTAAAATGGAGCTGTAGAGGAGAGTCTACTGAACAAGCCAGTACCTGCTGCATACCAGTACTGCCATCCGTTGAGGAGTTATGAAGGTGGAGGCATTACTTTTTCTACTAAGGCTTCCTGCTAAAATGGAACTGTGGAGGAGAGTCTACTGAACAAGCCAGTACTGCCATCTGTTGAGGAGTTATGAAGGTGGAGGCATTACTTTTTCTGCTAAGGCTTCCTGCTAAATTGGAACTGTAGAGGAGAGTCTACTGAATAAGCCAGTACCTGCTGCATACCAGTACTGCCATCTGTTGAGGAGTTATGAAGGTGGAGGCATTACTTTTCATTCAACCCTCGTATGTTGAGGTCGTCAAGCCGGGAAACAGCTGTGCGGCAGAAGGGGAAAATACTTGGCAGAGGATTTGCTTGGCAGAGGATTTTCCTCCTTACATGTTATTCCTCATCTCTGCAACCCGTTGGCTTGGTTTCTATTTGCCGGCTCTGTTTCTCGCATGTTTGCACGGGTGAGCATGGAAAAGTCGTATGGGTTGGGGAACGGACAACTTCCACGGCTTTGGCTCCACCGCAGCAGGGATTTTAAAGACAAGCATCTTGCATCTTGAAGGCAAACGCATTCAGAGCTCATTGAGAGGGGAGTCGCTCACAATCCTCCAATGAGAGGCGGAGAAGGAACGGCACACTTTTCGGCGAGGCTGCCAAGGGACTCGTAATGCAAACCATATGGGCCTCTGCCGAGCTACATCTCTTTCTCCTTCTGGCCTTCCAAATGCCTTGAAACAACTTTGTAGCCACATTTCACTAGAAATGTGAAGGGGAAAGCCCTTTCACTAGAAACGTTTAAAAAGGACCTTAAAACCCGGCTCTTCCGTTGTGCCTTTGGTGAGTAGGCACACACCATGACATTTTGCACCCCTCAACGTTTTCTGCTACTGAAGGTCGCACCCCCTAAATGGGAAGTTTAGCCTCACAACTCTGTGTTTTATGAGTTCCCTGTAAATATCCTGCTCCTATTTTATCTCATTACAGTCTTTTAATTGTTTTATCCTGTACATTTTTATCCTTATCGTGATTGTGTTTATTAGAATGTTATTTTATGACTGCTTTTTATTATGTATTTTGATGTTGTTGTTTGTTGTTCATGCTTTCATTTTATTGCTGTAATATGTTGTCCGGGCTTGGCCCCATGTAAGCCGCTCCGAGTCCCCACTGGGGAGATGGTGGCGGGGTATAAATAAATATTATTATTATTATTATTATTATTATTATTATTATTATTATATCTTAAGGTTGGCTCTGCATCTCGTGGCGCCAGAGCGCAGTCTGTTCAGCGCCTTTCAAGTCGTCCAGTCTTCGGTGTGTCTCTCATTCTGGGTTTTAGCCTGCCACTTTTGGACTCTTGCTTGCTGAGGTGTTCCTGCAACTGTCTCTGCAGATCTTAGAAAACTATTTCTTGATTTAAGGTGTTGGCATGCTGGCTGATATCCGAACAGAGGATTGGCCGGAGATGTCACTGCCTTGATCCTTTCACTATTGGTTGCTACTATCCGGTAGATGTCAGGTGATGCAATACCGGCTAGACAGTGTCATTTCTCCAGTTGTGTGGGGCATAGACAAGCTGTGATAATGCGGCATGTCTCATTAAGAGCCATATAATAACAATTATGGGTTGTTGTAGGTTTTTTTGGGCTATATGGCCATGTTCTAGAGGCATTTTCTCCTGATGTTTTGCCTGCATCTATGGCAAGCATCCTCTGAGGATCAACACTCTCATTCCTTGCTGTGGGAAACTGCACTTCTTCACTGTCTATAACAGGGACATTTTGAACCAGACTGTGAACCTGAGTCTCATCATCCTCATCAGAGACACTCTGTGATTCCAGCTGAGTCACAACACTGATATTATACATTTTTTTCAGGAGGTGCTAGGGTGGCTCCCAATTACCTTGGTGTTTCTAGCAGCTATCTAGCTGAATGCCTTCTCTGCTCCGTTTCCTTTCACCTTTCCAGAAATGTGGGCAGTTGTACGACCTCGTCCNAGCCCACCAGGACCCTAAGATCTTCTGGGGAGGCCCTGCTCTCTATCCCGCCGGCTTCACAGGTGCGGCTGGTGGGAACGAGAGACAGGGCCTTTTCTGTGGTGGCCCCCCGGCTTTGGAACACCCTCCCCATAGAGGTAAGATCAGCCCCCTCGCTGATGGTGTTTCGAAAAAGATTGAAGACATGGATGTTTGAACAAGCATTCGGTTAATCCGGTGCAATGAATTTTGATGATTAAAGGATTGGTAATCATGGACGATGAATTTGGATTGCGATTCCAGTTACGAGATGCATTTGGATTGTTATTGGTGGCCCAATAATTTGTATTGTATATGTGTTTTTTACGCTTTTTATGCTTTTAAACTGAATATTGTTGTTCTTTGTAGTGTTGTAAACCGCATTGAGTCGCCGATTTAGGCTGAGAAATAGCGGTATACAAGTGCAGTAATAAATAAATAAATAAATAAGGTGACAGTCCATCGAGGGGGTCTCTCACACACACATAAAGATATATAGACAAATGCACATACACAAAGATACATGCATGCATTTATGCACATACCAGCTGTTCATGTTTTTTTCTTTGCTTTTCAGACAACAGTGAGAACTTTTCAAATAATAAAATAGTTCATAAAACCCTTTCATTATCATTATTAGTGTTCACTGTTTGTTATTTTCCATTGTTTCCTTCTCTGGCCTTACTTGGACACCATCTTCCTTTTGTTCATTCTTCTTCATAGAGTGATCCAAGCCAATTTGGGGGCGCATAATTGTTCCATAATCAGTGTTCAATAATGAAGACAGTCAAATTTGGCTGTGTCTGTTATCAGCAAAAGCAAATGAAGCTGTTTGAAAAATAGGGAGTATTGAAGGGATGGGAGAATCATGGGGAGGTGGGGTGGAGTAATCCAGTAGAAGGATGCACGTGGGTTGTGTGACAGAGACCACCATTAAAGGTGATGTTCCAGCTGCAATGCTTTGTGTGATAAAGTCCTGTGGTGATGGTTTCTAGATGTATTTGAACATACAGAATGCCACCCAGGTACAAAGGCTTTGGTTATATACACCTTGTCTCCAGAGCCAACAGCAGATGAAGATTTTTATACAAATTAACTACCCAACTGATAAGAAATTAGTTTCCCCCTTTTATCAGCTTCTTTCATAAAATGGTGCAAGATTAGTAGCTAAAAAGAGATGTGATCTTGGAACAATCTCTGTAACTGGCCTTTGAACTTCAAAAAGACATTTGTGACACAGCAAATTATTGTGCCATCAAGACTGGCTGATGCATTCTTTACCACAGTATTTGCTTTGTAAGAACTGTCCTTTTCTGGCAGGGTGAAGACATGTTTCAAAATGTGATGATAATAGAAGTCCCTTTAATCCACTTGCCCAAAGAATCGATTGGCCAAGCAAAGGGATACTTCACTTGATTTCGAAAGGCAAGGAAGCACTCAGAACTTAGGTAAGAAACGATCCAGAATGCTCTTTTCTTATCAGGGCACCCGGTCTGGCTTCCCTGCATCTCACGCTGGACTCCTGCCAGGTAGTGAAAGAGGCCTCACATGGGGAGCAAATCAATGGAAATCATCAGGGCTCTGACCCTGACCCTCCCCCTGGGAATCCATCGCCAATTGGCTGCTAACCTGCTAATAGGAGATACTAATCTTCCTCTGTCCATTAAGCTGCTTCTCTTGCTCCACTATGTAAACAGACATTTAAAAAATTCCTTTTCACACAAAATGGAAAAACCCCTTACACTGGGATCAGGGTTTGGAAAAAGTTGTCTTTATGGAGCTACATACTCAGAATCTCACCTCAGCAGAGAGGACGCTTTCCA